CCATTTATGCAGCTGTTTCCTGTGTAGCCCAGCAGCCAAGTGCAGTTAACATCTGCCATTCTGTTTTTCACATTACAGCTCTTGCAAAAACATGTTGTAATATTATCCCACAGTGACCGATTACATCTTTATGTAACAGACTTCCTGAACGTATTGAGGATATCTGATTTTGGTATTGTACTGCTGATGAGAAGTGCTATTTTAGGATGATTGTTTAAGCTATAGCATTAATGCATGGAGCCAAGTAGGTGCTAAAACGGTAGGCTATCTTTCATATACTGCTAACTAATCTAGATTAAGTGTATATGGTGATCTTGGATTTAAGAAACGTTTTTTTTTTGTAAAAGTAGGTTATGTTGTTTAAATGAGAACACTGATACAAATCTCATGTCTGTTAGGTACCAGTTAGCTTAGCTTAGCATGAACGACTACAAAAAGTAGGAAGTAGCTAGCTCGGCCCTGTTACAAATGGCAAAGTCAGCCTAAATTAAGCTAAACTAAGCTAAGCTATCTGGCGGTAGCTTCATATTTACCATATAGACATGAGAGTGCTATCAAATTTCTCATCCATCTCTTGGAAACAAAGCTAAAAAGCACACAACCCAAAATGTCTACTATTCCTTTTAGACAAACACAGCTACTTCCACATGTCTTGAGCTTGTCATAGATGTAGATTGATGCAAATGGATATGTAGCATGATCTTTTGACTATCAGCACATTTCATCATTTTGCATGTTTTTTGAGTTTGACTAGGACTTTTACTGTTTTAGTAATATGTGTGTGTTTTAAATATCCAGGCTGGTCCATGGACATTGTGGAGCTGTGTAAGAAATCACACACATATTACTAAAACAGTAAAAGTCCTAGTCAAACTCAAAAAACANTGTGTGCCTTGGCAGTCTCAGAAATTGTTGTGTTTTTATTTTATTAACCTTTTACACTAAAAACAGGTTAGAATTTTCAAAAGGTCTTGTGATTTTTTTCACCCCTCCAAATTTCTGTGCACTTCCCTGGCCAAGGTAATGTGGTGACTTAAACATTTGAGCTAACATGCTAACCTACACTTTAGCCAAGATTAAAGGGCAAGCCATCCAATAGTGGTCATAGATTTTAGTCTTGACTCTCCGAAAGCGAAACCCGTCCTCTCTGTAGCGACAAAACACACCTTTACAAAATTGCCTTAGGATTCCTGGAAATTGTTGGAGCAATACAACTCAATCATATTTCCATTAGCATGCAGCCTGTGGGAACATGAGGTGGACTTTAAAAGGTTTTTACAACCTCATAACAGTGCAATATACTATCAGTAGAAATTATGCCCACTGGGTTTGATTGCAAGGTAAGCAGCCTGATTATGTATTTACACCGTTTGCAATTTTCTTCCAGTATTTACACTTCAACACATACAAGCACAAAACACTCAGCTCTTGTTGATGCAGCAGTTTTGTTCAGCTCTATTGTTGCTGTTGTTGCTATAGCCTACACGTCATTGTGTTTGACTTATTAGGCTATGACTTAAATATACCAGACATGTCAAAGAATGAAACATATTTAAACTCCCTCATGCGTAAAACTGTCTTTTAGTATTATGTTGATGTGTTAACACGCTCACCTCATAGGCCTTCCTGTGCCCTGGATTGGCTTCACAGTTTAGGGACTCGTCACCTGCCAGATCCATGGCAACCACTCCTTCGTGCTGATATTTCTTACACAGCTCCACAATGTCCATGGACCAGCCTGGATAATTTAAAACACACACATATTACTAAACAGTAAAGTCCTGTCAACTCAAAAACATGCAAATGATGAAATGTGCTGATAGTCAAAAGATCATGCTACATATCCATTTGCATCAATCTACATCTATGACAAGCTCAAGACATGTGGAAGTAGCTGTGTTTGTCTAAAAGGAATAGTAGACATTTTGGGTAGTGTGCTTTTTAGCTTTGTTTCCAAGAGATGGATGAGAAATTTGATAGCACTCTCATGTCTATATGGTAAATATGAAGCTACCGCCAGATAGCTTAGCTTAGTTTAGCTTAATTTAGGCTGACTTTGCCATTTGTAACAGGGCCGAGCTAGCTACTTCCTACTTTTTGTAGTCGTTCATGCTAAGCTAAGCTAACTGGTACCTAACAGACATGAGATTTGTATCAGTGTTCTCATTTAACTCTTGGCAGAAAAGTAATTTAGCATATTCCTTTATTTTCTCCTCTCACATCTTGGCTTTGATTACATGTATGAAACATAACCTACTTTTACAAAAACAAAACGTTTCATACATCCAAGATCACCATATACACTTAATCTAGATTAGTTAGCAGTATATGAAAGATAGCCTACCGTTTTAGCACCTACTTGGCTCCATGCATTAATGCTATAGCTTAAACAATCATNTGTAAAAGGTTAATAAAATAAAAACACAACAATTTTATTGCAAGTGACACTCAGTTTACTTTTATGTCCAACTGCTAAATTCTTTATTCAGGCATATTTTTTGTTTTGCGGTCCATATCTCATTAAAATATCTAATGTTAGTAACTATTAAAGAAAATTGAGGACAATTCTGTTTTAATGTAGTTTGACCATTGTAACTGCTGCGAGGACATACAGTACTGATAAAATAGGGCTTCTAACTAATTACATTAAATTAACTCACTAATTAATTAAATCAGTTCAATACGCATTATTCTTATTCTTATCATTCTTTATGAGTGCAGTAACGGTAAGGTATCTAATTACTTATTTATTTAGTATTCCATAACTTAATAACAGAGATGGTCAAATTAAAGTGGTAGAGACATGGCAGAAATCCTACAATAAAGCGGGACAGTGAAGAGGGCGATCAAGAAAAGAGAGAAAGCGGCCCGTTGAGGGAGTTTACGGTGCAGATGAAAAGACACAGAAAGACAGACGGTGTCAAGAGGAAGTAAAGTCCCCTGGTTTGTCCCCTATACTCTAACTGCCATGAGAAAACTCAAAATCAATATAAGCATATTTAAAAACGGGGACATTTCCGGAGACAGATTGACCTGGGGATTGGCCACCTACGCCATGCAGGCATTTGGTGTGATCCCCATAGCCATATGAGGCGGGACTCGGAGGGCTTTCCTTTGTTTTCAGCTGTCAGATTGTAAACAAAGTCACGTGATTGTGGACAGATGACAGCGCTGACAAGGTGGGTTTCCCGCAGCGAGAAACTACAATACTAAGTTTGGGCTTATCATGTTGATTCGGCCAAAAACTCTCGCTCTCTCCAGAGGGGCAGGTCAGCCAAAAAGGGCAAACGCGCTGTTTGTTGCTCGGGCAACATTAGCCCGTACCTGTGCACGTCCCTGTCCTTGGCTGTAGACGCCATCAACTATCAACTAATGTGCTGATACCATTTCTCAGACTTGTTTTGCACTGGATTTTTTATCAATACCAGCATGACCCTTTCTTTTACCAAAAGAGGGACGCAGTTTTACTTCTCTACCTTTAACTGTCTCAAACCAATGAGGCCTTAAATCTCTTTATCTGTAACCAACACAGAGCTGAAGTAAAACCTAATACTCTTAAAAACAATTTCCTCTTAAGCACCGACTGCTCTCAGGAAAAATCCAATTTAGTTTTCAGCCAGCATTTATTGATTAATTCAGAGAGTACCTCAGTAGTAAATCAATTTGGCCTGTCAGACTATAATCAATGAGGTAGATTAATCAGCGCACGACGGTAAACAACTCTGACCTGAAATGAAATATACGTATGGAAAAAGGATTGGTGATGTCAACACAGAGACAGTTTGTATTATTTCAGCCATTACATGATATAAGGGGAGGAAGTGTCCTATAGACATCTTGGCGGTACTGGTGATTAGCTTTGGTATTCTCCTGTTATTACAAGTTTCGTTATGTGTGTAGTGCGTTGACTTAATAGTGTAGAGGGGGAAAGGTGGACAGTAAAAACGGAATGAATTCTTGACTTATGAGTCCTTTGCCTCTAAGTGACTCTACTTGAGATAGAGAACCAACCAGGATTTATTAATGGGTGTCTTTCAATAGAGTGTGTAGGTATGAAGTTGTGCATTCACAAGGATTTTTTTATACTCTTGCGACCGGTCAAACTTCATTTGCGGCAATTAATTGTTTAAATATGAATAAAATGACAATAATATCAAATGAATGGAGTTGAGAGATTGTAACTGCAGACGTTGCTGATATTCTGTTGATTAGCTCGTTATCAATCAAGAGCAATCAAACAGCAATAATGCCATAAAACCATTTAAGACACGTGATCACACTAAATTAAATATGCAAAATCAGTATTGTTTTAAATTGTTTCTGATTGTTTTAATTGAAATACTTTTTATAACTTTATTGAATTCTGGTTACTTTGTCCGCATGTGTGTTTTTATGAATGTATAGTGACTGGAATGTGTGTGTATGAAGTGCAATTCATGTGTGTTTGTTTGTATGATTCATTAAATAATTTAGTGTTTACTTTTCTTATGTTTAATGAATAAATCATGTTATTTTGTAGGTTCCTTTTTAAGTATTGGGTTATATCTGGTGTGGATAAGTGAGTCATAATTACATAATGTGTTTACTTCCCAACTATATTATACATATTGTGCAATTCTCCAGAAATGTCTTTTCACTATGTGAAGTTTAGTGAAGTTTTGAAATCCTGTCAAGCAGCATTGATTAATGGAAGAGAAAATAAACAAGCTTCAATAATTAACAAGAAGCAGAACTCAACGAGTCCTTCAAAACATGGCAAACAACTCACACACTAATATTGAAAGTTATCTTCATAACTACATGACCTCAAGATATCTGCAGATTAGGCTCGCAACACACAGTGTGTCAAAGGTTAAGAACGCAAAGAAGAAAACATCTTCTTGCACAAACCAGAGGGCTCGTTGTGCAACATCTTTTTTCACAATGAAACAAATGAAGTTAGCACAACAACGTAATGTGATGCTGGAGTACTGCAGATGTGAAACCCAGATGTTTTGTTGCTGACGTATTTCCCGATTGATTTTGTTGACAGGAAGCAGTGCGCTGTGGGATCCACAGAACGGTCCACGCAGGCGAGGTGGGCCCGCCGTCTGTGGTGAAGGAGGTGAGCGAGCAACAATAACACAAGACATTACTGAACTGAACTCCATGTCTAACGAGAACTTAAGTGCCTCTGCAACTAAGCAAAACAATGAAGTCATGCACACAATGGAAATCAGTTAAGCGGCTATTGGAGGCAGGGATCGAAAAGAAACAAGAAGCTGGTCAGTTGAAGATTTAGTGTGTCTGGAAAATGCATTGCACAGGTCACCAAAGGGACACACAAACACAATTCAAATGTGGACGCATGAGATTGGAAGCTGCTGTGTCTTAACCTCCTTAGTGTAAAACTACAGTACAGTATTTCTCACTCCCATAATAAGTAGCCACTTTCTAAGAAAGCCCTTCCTCGTAGTGACAGGTCAGATGTGCCACAGCAGTTGCTTCTAGAAATAGCCTGCAGATTCTGCTGACATTAACAAGAAGGAGGGATTTCTTTCTTTGTGGATCATAACCTGTTGCCTCCTAACATGTCTAGGCTGTAGAAGTGCTGAAAGCTGAACGTGTTGGACACGGTTACAGAACCCTGGAAGACCAAGTTTTGTACAAGAACCTGCTGGCTCAGAACATGCACTTCGAGGTGAGGAAATGTCCAGAATAAATACAGTTTTCATCACATCTGCATTACCAACAATGTTGTTAATAAATGCAAAAATGAGCCTGTTATTGCCCTGTCTATCGTTAACCGTATTAATCAGAAGATGTTTTTTTATCATGTACTTACAACTGTATATACTGGTATGGAAAACAGTGATATACTGACCTCTAGTGGAGCCTCCACTGCTGTCATAGCTGACGGAAAAACAACAGCAGCAAATTAATGGAAATACAAATGATTATTTATTAGAATCTTCCAATAGTCACATGCATGTACACACCAGGGCAACACAGAGAAAATTAGACTCTACTTTAATCCCACTTAGTATTAAGTGGCAGCTATTATATACACAACACCTGGGGAGCATTGAAGGGGTTCGGGGCGGTGCCCAGGAGGTGAACTGATTATCTCAAAGTACAAGCCGAGTCTCCGTTATTGGTCCTTTACGGGACTTGAATCGGCGACCCTCTGCTTTCCAAAGCAAGTCCCTACAGACTGAGCCCCGTTATGTTATCAGTGCTTCCTGTGCTGCTCCCATTGCAGGTGTGTCCTATTTCCAGTAAGCTGACAAGTGCCTGCGAACCAGACTTCACCAAGCACCCTGCCATCAGGTGAGCTGTCTTTATTTTAAATGGCAGTCTGGTAAATATATATTGCATTAAAGCAGTATTTAATTTAATTGGATGTAATGGTTTCCTTTCTTCAGGTTCAGGAAGGACAAAGCTAATTACTCCCTGAATACAGATGACCCTCTGATCTTTAACTCAAGCCTGCACCTCGACTACAGCACCGCGCACACATACATGGGATTCACCGACGAGGAATTCAAACGACTGGTGAGATCAAATGCATGAATAATTACCGCAGGATGAAGGCATTTGAATATGGGTTGAAATGAAAGCATGGGGCGTAGACGTCCTCTGAATGCTAATGCCTTTCTCTGTTGCTAGTTAACACAGAAACGAAAAAAGTGTTCCAAAGCCTCAGATTAATAATTTAATATCAATGTGTTTTGAAGAATTGTGCTTCACATACAGACTCGCTTAGGTTTGCCTACGGATTGACGCTGAAATTACATTTTAGAAAACACTCCAATTTCATTTCCTGCCAAGAATTAGATGAACAGTTTGATACCACTCATATACAGTATGAAGTACAGATGTGAATCTACTGCAAGAGGAGGGTTAGTGAACAGAGGAGGAAACAGCTATCCCACCTCTGTCCAAATGTAATGAAACCTGCCCCTCTTTAGATTAATTAGTATAACATTAGAATCTGGTTTTATTGAAACTGTAAAATGTGGTTTATAGGTGGTTAATATGTCGATTAGCAGGCCTACGTGTCAAGTACCCCTCTAGTTTTGGTTTTATCACATGCAGGGCAGCCTCTAAAAGCAATAGAAATTGTAACTGGAATAAAAGAGGAAGTCTGGTGAAAAGTAGAGTCCACAGAGGATGGAGGACTTTCAACCAGGAGGCCCTTGTTTGTGTCCAATGTACCTTTAAGAAACACATTTGCTATCCTACTTAACTTACATATGTAACTTTAGTTTAGTATGCTAACAAACATACTTATTTTAACCCAAACCCAAATGATCTTTTTCTAAATCTAGCGAAGAAGTTCTGCATAAATTCACAGTCAGTCATCAGACTACCCTGCACGTTAAAAAGAAACAGCAGGAGGTCCTCACAAAGTGTCCATATGCTAACAGTTGAGAGAGAGTGTGTTTGTAATCACTTTGTTCAGCCTATACATCGTCTCTGTCTAGTCCCTTTTCCTTTGAACCTAAGAAAAGCCATTGCATCTTACATAAAAAGGGACTTTCCAAGTTGGAAGTCATGCATTTGGACGTTTGGTTTGGTTCATTACAAAATGAGCCTGTACAAGCTTAGTTTACAAGGTTTAACAGCTATTACATGAATTTTAAGAAGGGAGCAACACACTGCGAGTCATAGCAGATTCGTATTTGCTGTTTGGATGTACTGAATGCCTCTTGTTGGCAGATTTAGTTATCGTTGTACTACAGGTTTAGATTTGGCTGGCTGAGCTAAACGGCTACAGGCACAGAGATGAGAGTGACATCAAAATGTGAACCTATTCGCCTCCTTGTGTGTTGTAGAACATCAGTTCTGCTCAGTCGAGCTTCCTGCCTGAGGAGGAGAAGAAGGATCTCGTCCAGAGACTGCACGAGGCCTACGGGATGATAAAGTGTACCGCCTTTTAAAAATCTGAAGAAGGAGGAAGGAGGAAACGTGACCTAACCCAGGGGCGAATCGCTCTGAACCCTTTATCTCCTGACCCGACACCATGGGATGTCCTCATTTGTAACCTAATATATCAAAAATGCTGTTTATCTTCTGCCTTCACATCACATATTTGTTCATCACCAGCTTGTGTTTTGTCAGTATTCTACCATCCAAGTACTTATGTATACCTTTTTATACTTTAGTTTACATGAGACTTTCCACAGGATGTCATGGTGCTCTGCAAAGTTAAGAATAATACGGGTGCTTTGTGTTTTTAAAGCCGATTTTGTTTATATGAAAACATTTTTCATCTTGTGTTTACAACCTGTCGTTATAAAGAGAATCAGGGAAGCTTTTTAATGCACAACTACTTCAGTTTTTAACATTTTGTCAGCACGTAAGTGAGGGATAAGCTTGGTAATTTGACGTTAAAGGAGGGTAATAGAGGAATGTAATACTTATGGTTTACTGTGAATATCCATTGTTTGGTTAAAGGGAGGAGTGAGGAAATCCTGTCATGTTTGCCCTTCACACCATAAACAGCTCAATACCAAAGGTGAAGTCTTACATTTGAACACTAGGGGGCGCACTACGGTCACCTAGCTGGACAAACCAGTGTCTTAATGTGGTTTAGCATATCATAATTACTCAATTCATTTTGATGTATATGCTTATTTAAAATATAATTTTCATTTCACTTGTTAAAAAAAAGCACTTCCATTTATAAAACACATGTATGACATGTATGGAAAACATATTTGAATATAATAAAAAAGCTTTTAAGATGTTCCTGCATGTCTGTCTGTTTTTTTATTAAAATATATTTTTAGGTCTGTCCTATATAAGTTTCTTCACTATAAAAAATGTCCCTTTGGTACAGAGGTTTTTAAGTTATAACCACGGTTAAGAGAGCCCAAGCCTGACACTAAGAGATATTGGTAATAAAACAGATCTTTATCTTTACAGCTCCTTCAACCTCTGCTCTTCATATACAAAGAGATTAATGGGAGCATTGGGACCATGCTAGTCCGAAATATGTAAACACTTCCTGTCTGCGGCTGCGCTCGTGTACACGAAGGCTGCATACAATAATATTTATGGCTCTGGAACGGATCATTCTAACGCTAGGGTGTGAAATATGCTCACCTAGCTGTACAAACCAGGGTCTTACATTTTGTTTAGTTTTAGTTGGTTGAGCAGCATATGGAGGCGTGTGGCGCAGTGGGTTAGTGCGCTGATCTTCGAATTAGAGGATAGCAAGTTTGAGTCCCACTGCAGTCAGCATGTCGTTGTGTCCCTGAGACACTTCACCCCAAATTGGATCAAAGCGTCTAACAAGTAACACGTAATGTAATGTATGATCCTAATTACTCAGTTATTCTAATGTATATATTTATTTAAAATATCTCTTTTTAAAATGTCACATATACAAAATAACTTTAATGTATGACTCACACTTATGGAAAGCATTTTTGAATATAATAAATAAGTGTTGAGGGGTCTGTATATTATCAGCATAAAAAAGACAGTTACTACAAATATCTTTAAGTAATTCCTCTAGGTTTCTTCACTATGAAATAAAGGCACCGAGTCATTCATACTAAAAAAAGGGAATAAGTTGAAGCCTTTTTTTAAACTTTATTATTTGCCACTTTTGTTTGTTTGTTTGTTCACCATGTAAAGCGGCCTTTGGTCCCTCGAAAGGTGCTGTACAAATGTCATCTATTATTATTATTATTATTATTATGCTATGAGATAAATTTGTATCTCTACATCTCAATCCTCTGTTTCTTTACGTATAAAGGAGATAAATGGGAACACTGGGAGCATGTTAGGTGGAAACGTAACCACTGCCTTCCTGCGGCCATGCTAATGTCCACAAAAGCTGTATTCAATAATATTTATGGCTTTGGAACGACTCAGCAAACTGAACTCATTAATCCCGTTGGACAGCTCTCAGACCTGCAGCGTCCCCCACTGCTTCGAGGGGAAAGCTACTCACGCTTCAAAGCATAAAACACAAAATGTTACAGTAATTCATAAGTATTTTATTACACAAAGAAAATTGCTATCACAAAGTTATCACTGAACATTAAGCAATAAATATGAAGTCTGTACATGACAGTATAATGGCGACTATGTTTCGTTACTCAGAAAAAGAAAGGGACTTGCGGTGTAATTGAACAAGAGGGTCACAAACACACACGCATACATAGAAAGAAAATGACAAACAGATGATTATGATTATCCATGACTCAGTTCCATACCGGGCTGGAACAACGTTTTTTTAATTTTTTTTTTATAAATGGATTCTGTTCAGCAACTCCACAGAGATAAATCCAAAGTTTATGTGCTTTCTCGTCTCCTCCCCCGGGAATATAAATGACCAGCAGAGAATGAAGCAAAAGAGCAGCATCTCAATAGTCAGCTGTTTTTCTGCTCTGCTCCGCGTGTTACAATCGGATCCAATGAAAGGCGAACATTTGGGGCCGCTGGAGCTCCAAACAGGCTGGCAGTGAGCGAAGGTGTCCTCGTGTCCACATAGGACAACCAATATACACTCTTTCTTTTCTTTTCTCTCGCTTCCTTCTTTACTTTTCAATTCCTTGGCTTTGCCGCCCTTTTGGTCTCTGGCTGAGTTTAGGACGGGCCTCCCCCTCCCTGGGCGTCTTGGCTGGTGGAGCCCTCGGCCTCAGGGGCTGGGGAGGCCCCCGGGTCGCCTCCTGGAGGAAACAATATGCAACAAAACATCCGTCAAATATTATAGATAATATCGAGCTCAAGAGTGGTTTCGCATCGTTTGTACAGCCTGTAATAAATCTGCTCCCAAGAGGAAAGAATAATGAGAATTCTGAGGAAGGAACTACAACTTCCTGTAGCTAAGTGTAAAGATTCAAGTTCTAAAAGCTTTATTGTCAAATGCACAGCAGCAGCTACAGTCTAGAGATGGCAATGTAACATCTTAAATCCCAGGCTCCTCCAACAATGCAACATACATAAATATAAAAACAATAAAACAAATCTAAAAAACAATAAAATAGTTATCCTGCAAGACCGTGTGCAAGTAATGCAGATGAAGTCAACTTTATACTAGGGCTGTACCCGAATATTCGAATATTCGTTCGTTGGTCAACTATTCGGGTTTCAATTTCATTATTCGGATATTGTTTTTTTTTTTTTCTAAATGTATGCTATTAATAAAGGCAAATTGCCATATTCTTATACTATATTTAATCTTTTGAATTGTACTGTTAAAATGCGGAAATATATACAATCTCAGCCTGTGCTCCTGACATCGCTTTCACTCACAGTCACGAACGAGAACGGCACGGTTCATCTCGCTTCACACACCTGAACACAAAATGCAGAAGACTTCAGCTGTGTGGGACCATTTTAAATTGGACGACGGTAAGTAAATATGTGCCAAATATGCGACAAGAAACTGGCCTACCACGGTGGCACAACAACTCTGAAAAGTCACCTGGATGCTGTAAGTAGTAGCCTAGCTTAGCTTAGCTGTTTTCAAGTTGCCCTGTTGTAATGTTTGCGAGTACTGAGACAATAAATAAATATAAAATCGTAATAGTATGCTCTTTCTGCTTAACAGCTCGTTGTCAGGTGTCTCGGATTCGGAGCGTGTTATGAAACCTTTTGGAAAAATGTTATTTAAAAAAAATACAAATCTCTCCGCACCGAATATTCGCTACTGATTACTACCGAATATCCTGAGCCCGAAAAATGGTATTCGGGACAGCCCTACTTTATACATGTCAAAGATAAATGATAAGCTAAATGTAGCAGAGAATGTTGTAAGTGTTGTAAGTATTTCCAAATGTGAGGTTTCCCACAAGAGTGACGTAAGATTGGGTAACATGTCAACATGTCTTTGACTGAAAAAGGAAGTAAGCAAGAACAAGGAGGCAACACACACAATGGCCAGAGAGGCAACATCTGCGTCACGTTCAGACAGCTTGACACGCTGCTGAGATTAGAGGAAGAATCTGTCATTGTGCTGCCGCCACGACTCACTTATCTCCGAGGCAACAACAGCCAGGTGTCACTGAGTCTGCCAGCTGAGCAGCGCCACTTGTTTGGGTGCTTTGGAGCTTTGAGACACAGACAAAGCCGTCTAGTTTCTGTTGAAGGACACGTTTGACATGAACTCTGGGTAACTTTTTGACAAACTTCAAAACATGGCAAACAACTCAGCTTATTTTGCTCCAGATGTTTCCTGGAAGATTTTAACATTTGTGAGGACGTTTTATTGGAAAACTCAGCGATGAAAATGTACCAGTAACACAGTGCAGACTTTAGGCAAAGGACAACGACAAAGTCCTTCTTTGTACATATATACGTTTATATTTCCAACGAGTTACGGTAGCCTCTACACACCTTTTCCTTTTCCTCATAATAAATCCAATACATTGTTAGCGAATAATCAGCCAAGTTTTACTCCTTTTTCGTCATTTGGTGCCACTGGTCAGACACTGACACCTTTTAGGTCATTTCTTATAGTTTGTGGTCATAAAGGTTCGAAGTGCAGCTTCTTTGTCATTACGCGATACAGGACTGCACAAGGAAAGGCTGTCGTAGCCTTTTCACACAGATATTTAAATATTTAAATTGAAATGTTATAAAATGATCAGTTTCCCTTTACACCTGATCAATCATCAACTCTTCCTGTCAGACCATGACTTGTCTTACATTTCTTTTACAGCAACTAAAATGGCCATATACTAAATCTAAAAGCTAAATGAAGACCTTAGCCTTAGATAAAAGTGTTTTGTGAACCCAGCACCAGGTCCTTGGTATGCATACACACACACATTACCTCTGCTTTCACACTGTGTGTTCATGTGTGTGTTGACTGACCTGCAGCCTTGAGGTCCATCCCTGCCAGGTCTTTGGTGAGTTCACTAGTGCTGGCCGCTCCTTTTCCCTTCCCTTCAATGTCGGGCACTGCGTTCCTGCGGCCTGTGCGATCACAGTTGATGAAGTCTGAGTACGACGTCTCCACGTCCATCATCTGTCCATGACCAGCGCTCTCATTACACCTGCCAAGAGGGAGGAGGGGGGATGTCAAGTGGCTGCGGAGGTGTAGCACATAAATCACCCCGCTGTCTCCCTTCAATAGTCTGCAGGACCCGTGGGAGGACGTATCACTGTGTCTGGTGAATTTCTACTTCAGCAGAATCAATCACAAAGTGCTTTTTAAAAAGGTTGAGCAGTGCAGAGTGAGAACAAGGCAGAACATGAGCAATTGAGCAGCAGGGGGAATACAAAAAAGGTGTTAACAACTCCTATGTCTGCACAGATTAATAGCACTCCGCCAATAGAATGTCCTAATTACATCAGGAAAAACAAAAAAGCTGCATCGAATCTCCAACTCAGGCTCTCACTTGCCTAGTCATACCTCTCAACCAGAGTCCATTTGTCTGTCTGAAAGGTACTTACACAGCAAAGGGTTTAGAAAAGAGAGAGAGCACTGATCAATATGGAGAGAAAGAGCTTGAAGCCATTCAAAGCACCAGCAGAGGTGTGGCCAGAAAAGTGCCCCAGCTAAAAAGTCAGTAGAGCTCCGAATCCGCCATTCATTCCTCTTCTGTTTCCTGTTCTCAGTCCATATTTAACTGGGTCACGGATCCTGCCAACCACTACAACCCTATACAGCTGGAAACTCCTCAGAGAGAACAGGACAAAAAATAACACTGCCCCAGAAAAAAGAAAAGGAGTAGTTTGATGTAGTATGAAGTTGTCCTCTAATAAATATAAACAAATTGTCACAGCTGTTCTTCTCCTGCAGCTTTAGTCTGAACATCCCCCGTGGGCCCGCACACATTGTAGAGATCCCACGGCTCTGCATGGGCAGCATAACTGACTACATTACAGCGAGCCTGTAAAAAAGCATGTAACACGACAGCTGATCTCTCAGAAACACGANGTGTTTGTGGTCTACGAAGTAGGGATGCACCGAATATTCGGCCACCAAAAATTATCGGTCGAAAATGGTTAAAAAGGCCCTTTCGACTTTCGGCCGAAATATCAGCGAATGTCAGAGAAGTGGTGAAAGTCTTTGCAGTTACACCCCCTCGAGAAATGTCAGCTGAACACGTTTTACAAATCGCAATCTGCGCCTCTTTCTCTGATATTTTGAAATATCTCCAAGCGGCAGACATGTTGGCTGTGAGCCAGCCGCGAGCATGGTCGCGCAGCGTGCTTGTCGCCGCGTTTTGATTACGTCATCACAACAACACGTTAGGTTACCAAATTTATAGGTGCATTTGTTGTTGTTGAAGGCCTGGCTGTTACAGTCTTTATTTACACTATTTTGTTGTGGGCCAACTGGCCTAGATGTTTATGCAGTTTTAAAGCACCTTGGCTTTGTTCTGAATGCACTTTGTTGTAGTTATCCTACAGAGAAAAGAAAATGCACTTGACTTGGAATTAATGTACTGTATGCATTCAAAAGTGCTGAATAAATGTTTTATGGACCCATAATAGTGATTATTAGTTAAGTTAAGTTAAGTTAAGTTAAGTTAAGTTAAGTTAAGTTAAGTTAAGTTTAAGTTAAGTTAAGTTTTGCCATAATCATTTCTTTTTCCATAATCAGGTAGCTGAACAACATTGGTAAAAAATGTATACATTTTCTATTAGGCCTTTCGGTTTTCGGCCAACTGTTTCCTATTTTCGGTATCGGTTTCGGCCAAGAATTTCCCATTCGGTGCACCCCTACTACGAAGTAAATACAGAGATGACTTTAGTGTCAAATTTCACAAGAAACCAACAAACTTATCCTATTGTTGTTTTAATGACACACACCCAATGTTTAGTTAACCAACATGTTAACTGACTGTTGCTAAAAAAGAGTTTAATTTGGCTAAAGCTTATTTACTTTCTTGCAGTGCTAGATGATAAGACGGACATCACATCACTTGCATGTCTGCTTGTATGAAGATATCGGCAGACATAGCGTAGCATAAAGACCTGAAAGAAAGGGTAACAGCTAGCCTAGCTCTGTCCAAAAGCAGCACTGTTACCCTTTCTTTCAGGTCTTTATGCTACGCTATGTCTGCCGATATCTTCATACAAGCAGACATGCAAGTNTATATATAGATAGATATATATATAGTGGGATGATATATATAATCCGGGACAGTTTGCTAATTGTAAAATTAGTCTAATTAGTGTCGGAATTTTTAATTAACTAGCTACTATACTGGTACAGACTGTCAAATAAATATATATATATATATATGTACACACACATCTCTTCCTTTTATGATTAATTCACCTATTCATCCATTTCCTATTTAATTTCACTTCTTTCATTATTATTACCGTTATTTTTCTAATCACCAACTATTGTAATGTTGCTGATATACATTTATGGTTGTTTAAATCAGTTTTACAATCGCAAATGCCTCAAATATTTACTGGTTTTCTTTATCTTATATCATTGTAATTCAAAGCGACATTAGAAATTGATTTCATACAAACAGCTTCAACTAACAGTTATTTTCATTTTTGATTAATCTACAGATTTGTTTTCTAGAAAGACATACCCATCATAGTTTCCTAGAGCACCAAATAATATCATTGAATTTATTTTTTGTTTTGTCCTACTAACAGACCAAAGCCCAACACCATTTTGTGTGTGAAGCAAATCAAACTAAAACAATTTGTTATCAAAATTGTCCGCTCATTAAAATGATGATGCACTGTGTCAAACTTGTGACATTTTAAAGTAAACTAAAAGGAATAACAAGACAAGAACAGACTTTCAGAGCACCATGTCTGAAAAGTGAGACGTTTTTTTTCAGCTCTCTGTACTTTTCCAGACACTCAGCAGAGCACCCACATCTAAATATTTTCCACTTGGACGCAGCACCTTTCACAGAGTTATGTCCACATGCTGATAATGTCCCTGAGAGCCTGGAGCTTACACAGACATAAATGAATGTGGCTGGAAAAGTAAACAAGATAGTAACTTTTCAGAAATGTTTTTCTCAAGAGGCATGAATCACTTTAACTCAGAAGTACTCAGATCTTCTACTTACTTAAAAGTAGAAAAACTAAAGTTTAGAAATATTGTATCGCAATTAAAAACACTGCATTCAAATCGAGTATAAGCATCCAAGTCAACCGTACAAAAAGCAAAATAATTGCTTGTGTCAAATGGACAATTTTAGAAAAATGTATATTACATTCTTGGATTTTTTTATGCATTAATGTATAAACAGCTTTGGGTAAAAAGCTCATCTTAATGACTTTATATACTGCTATTTTAAAGGGGCCCTACTATGCTAATGTTCAGGTTTCATATGTGTATCTTGTGTCTGTACTGTGACATGTCCATGCTTTAGTGTTCTGCTAAAGCACCTCTTTTCACCCTCTGTCTGAAACCAGAGCCAAGTCTGCTCTGATTGGTTAGCTGGCCGGCTCTGTTGTGATTGGTCAACCACTTATGGCGCATTTCCACTACAACGCGTGCCCGTTTTTGGTTGCGTTTCCACTAGGCGTAGTTCCGGCTAGCGGGTCGTTTTTCACAGTTTTCTGGCTCTCGAGGTTCTTTCCGGGCCAACAACCGGGTGAGTATGCTAAACTAGTGAGAGAATCGCTGGCAACTACAACAAAATGAACATATTTGACCGTGATTTAATTGTAATAAACGTTTCAAAATGATGCCGAAGTAACAACATACTGATACCGGTTAGTAAAAACCATGAATGAATGCTTTGACAGGCGAAAAACCTTTTAAAATGCTTGTTTTCTAAATAGATTGGCTAAGCTAACGTTGTATATGCTCCGACCGTCCACACTCACAACAACGGCCTATACAGACATAAATAAACCAGCGACTGTATTCGCCATGACACAGACAGTCTGTGGTTTGTACTTGTTTAACTTCTGTCTAGTTCCTGAACAGATATGAGGAGCAGTGAGCTCTGAGGGCTAACAGCTAACGGCTGATGTTGCTTTTGTGTTTCGCATTGAAGATGACGTCACGGCTCCGCCTACACTGCGTTACTATAGTTACCACCCCAGTTCCTAAACGGTGATGGAAACGCAGCATAAAGTGAGCCTGGCCTACCAAGGCCTAACTACACCGTACTAAGGCTCTGCAGTGGAAATGCGCGATTAGAGATGTCCCGCCCCTTAACCTATCACGTACAATGTGTTGGAGCGCTAGCCAATAGAAGAGCAAGTGTTACATATCGATGTCACTATGTTAAGAAAGTTTATGTTTTGTATTTTAATCTAGTAAATTAAGTTATTAGGTAATAAAATAAAATAAAAAGAGAAGAAGTAAAAGCTAAAAATAGATCAACTCCAACTATTTTTTACAGTATTTGCTAACTATAGTTTTTATAATCGGTAATGAAATCAGTTTCTCCCGACACATTTCTGTTTTCCTTGTGAAGAGTCTTGAGGATGTTTGGTCTAAACGAGCAGTTGCGTCAACATTTAGATGAGATAGAGATGTGAGATTTATTTTTAAGGTGTGGTTGGAGGGTGTTGTTATCTCGGTCCTTTTCCAGCGCCCCTTCGCAGCACCTGCTCCTGACTCAGCTGTGAGTCATGGCTGGTTGATGAGACTCAGTCACACCAGGCGGGGATTCCCTCTCGCCTCATGTTTCTACACTCTGTTCACAGTCTGGTGTGTCCGTCCTCTCGCCTGTAAAAGCCTTCATCGATCACGGTTTATTTACAGTTTTCGGGGCCTCGGGACACAGTGTTGGTAATGTAACCGTCACTTAACTCCAAACATGGAAATGGAATCCTCGTATGTGTGACCTTGTTACTCTTACTGTGGTGTGTGTGAAGGGATATTATGATGCTTAAGGACTGATATTGATTGACCCAGCTGTTGCTAAGTGAGCTGTGCTAACAAAAGGGAACATCAAGTCCGTCTCTTTAGGGCTTTCTACGCTCTCCTGCCATCTGTTTAAAAAATGAGAGGACATTTTGGTTTACTAGTTTGTGCTCGGTCAGAGAAGGAAGTCACTGCTTTTAATGAAAATATATTTAGAAAAGGAAAACATGTTACATAAGTGTTTGTTTGTGAGCTTTACTTTTCTGGTTCAGTGATGAGTGTGATTTGTGTTAACTGAAAGTCATGACTGACTTCCTGTGCAGAGGCAGGTCAAAAATGTGATGTGGTCATCTGGGTGGAAACACTTAGTCATTTGAGATTTTCTCAAAGCAATAGTTTGAAGTATCTGGAGATCTGCTATTTGCTTTCTTGCATCTCTTCATGGCTGTTTTGCCTGTTTTTGTATTTATTTGCATCTCTCTGTGGCCTTTTTGTGTCCTACGCCTCTGGCTGCTTTGTGTCTTTGTGTACAATTTGCGCTTTTGTGTCTGTTGAGCATCTCTTTGTTGTTGTCTTTTGTGGTCATTTGATCGACTTTCCAGCAACAGATTGTGGACAGCTGCTTCGTACAAAAGGCTCCCTTCACCTAGTGGGCTTCAGTAATCTTGCTCCTCTGCTAAGTGCTACACATTATATTACTAATGTAACAATGCAAATGCATTACATCCACGCCTTCTTAGTGCATGTTCATATGGAGAACATATTAACAAATGCATTTATTATTCTTGTGCAAAGTGCTTAACTAAACAGCCTACCTCCGCCATTTCAGCCTCATTTCCCAGCAGCTTATATCCACTGATAGTCCCTATAAACCTGAAAAAACTACTCTAATGTAACATGTTTTTTCAACCAAATTATGTTTGTTTACATGCTAGGAAAGGGGTGCCCAATACGTCAATCGCGTAAATCAAAGGTAGTGTGGGTACTGTAGATTGAATGGTATGGAAAAAAAATAAA